GGTCTATTGGGCGCCTCCATGGCTTGTTCACTGACCAGCCATACATACCCTGAATCAGTCATATTTTGTGAGTATATTTGTTGGAAAATATTGTGTCCGTCCTCTTCATTGGCATACAATATGAATATCCGACAGAAGAGCTCCCTTTTGGCCTCTTCTAACTCTAGGACTATGTTAGGAATTCCCGGTTCGTACTTAATTACTGACTCCACTTTTACTGTAATTAATGATAAACTTTAATTAATTATAAACTTTAAGAAATTATGGTCACTTTTATACGATTCAATTACTATTTGAAATGTCGGCTAAGTTTTGAAAGCGTCCTAAAGTACTCCTGCCATCGCTGTCGGAGCTGTGGATGAATACAACACTGAAATACTTGAGTCGAATCAAGATCTCTATCCAGACGTCCGCCTGATGTGAAAACGGAGCGCTATTTCGATTGAAATGTTTACATCAAATCATATGATTTGCTTCTATACTAAAACCATATTTAACTTACATTGTCCTGAGGAAAGCAGCATGCAGGTTTTTGTTCGATAAGGTGCTCTCTCGGTTAGTTATCCCAATTACTGTATGTTTTATAAATTATTTTTATCATCCGGTTATATGTCATTCAGACAAAAATTATTGGTATTAAGTTTGATTACTAAATTAATTATATTGTCCTAAACTGATTACTTGCTTTTTTAGAAAAATTGAAATACTTATTTTCCTAACTTTTTTGAGCAATTTAATTTCATTGAAATGTTCAAATAATATCCCTGAAACGACTACTGTATCAAGATAGAATTTTTATACAATTCAAATATTTATTAATACTTGAATAAAATAAAATATAATTTGACAGACTGAATGGAAGTAAATGCAAAAAATATTCATTTTAGAATTTTGGTTCTAGCCTGGAACTTCTAGATCACATTCTAGGTCATTGGTTCTTGATGCAACTTTGAAATATGGCATTGTTCATAATTTTCTGATGTACTTGTCAGTGGTTTTAATGATAAAATTCCTCGAAAAACTAAAAAGTACTTTGCTAACTTTTTAAAGCCTAATCAAGTTCACTCACATGTCAGTGAATCTAATGTAAACTTCAAAAAGAAAATTGTTTAAAATTATTTATTACAAAACATGAAATCGATAGCATTAATAATATAGTGTTAATAAAAATTGCAAAGCCTAATCAAGTTCACTCACATGTCAGTGAATCTAATGTAAACTTCAAAAAGAAAATTGTTTAAAATTATTTATTACAAAACATGAAATCGATAGCATTAATAATATTGTGTTAATAAAAATTGCAACCCGCAACTGAATTTGTGGTAATTATTGAAATATTGTATTACAATTATAGTTAAAACTGACCTGGAATATTGTAGAAACCTGTGAAATGTAATAATAGTAAGTACAGTACATCTCTTGATTGTGAATAAGACTAGTATTAATTAAGATGTGTTAACATATCATATATCATACCACAAGTGAATGAAACAGATGAAAGAGACTGATCACCATTCGATGGATGCGATGCTATCACTGCAAAGACCTGTTGTCAACAAGTAATAGATGTATTGGAATACATTTATAGACAGTTTTATGTATGAATTGAAAAAAAATTGAAAACCTGTGATGAAATCAAATTATCGCAAACACTTTGAGCCGTTCGGATGGGGTTTGAATTCATTGGAACAGTCACTGCATAGAGTGTTACATCTGAAATGTTCAGTCAATCTTTTATATTAGTAATAATGTACAAATACAGGTATAATGTACAAATTAAGTTATATCATTTTTGTAAATACTTGTAAATAGGCTTATTTATCAAATATCTAATGCACTTTGTTGTTAAATTATCAAATTGAAAATATACTCTATATAATGTACATGAGTAATTTAATGAATTGTGTTGAAATATTTAAGTAATAGAAATTGGATGTCAATTTAAATATAGAAAATGAATGAATACTTTTAGGTAAAATTCCTGGTTTGCGATTAATATCTTCTATGACCTAAAAATTAATTAAATATTTGTTAACAAATTGAAATTATAAAAGTTACATTTATGTATTACTTGTGAAAACTCGTATATATTGTCACCCGAACTGAGAACAGCTCCAATGTTATAGATTCTTGGATTTTCATTGGCAGGCAAATGGTTCACAGGATTTGATATTAAATCCGATAAATTTGCCCTGGTCACTGATGATAACGAACTCACAATTATTATTAAGACTTTTGCAATGAAATTCATTTTAATCTTTTTTAATAATTTATTCTTTCGTTACAATTAAATAAATTTTATATCAAATAAATCAATAAATAACAGAATTAATAGAAATTGTTTAAACCCAAATATCATGTGAAATATTAGATAGTCGTGTAGAAAGTGTCATTTTTAGAGAAAAATCGATACAAAATCGAGTGCAGTATGGCTCACATCATATTTGCATCTCTTAATCCCAACCGCATCCCAGTCCAGCATCTCTTTGCAAGTCATGCTCACTTCAAATGCTATAATATATACTTAATGTTTGTTATATCAACACAATATTTTTTATGGTCAATAAATAAACACATTCTTTATTCTTCTAATAGTAATCTTTGAATCAATAGAAATAAAACATGAAAATAATGTAAATCAGAGTTTGCTTATATTTGTATACAGTATTTGTACAGTATTTGTAACTTGGTCCATCACTACAACTACGGTATTTCAATGCTTTCGATAATTGACTCATTTCATTGAATTACTTTATTCACTTTTATCAAGTATTCAAATGCTAGAGCCGTGTCACGTCTAATAATGTGACAAGGACATTCTAAATAATAAGATCGACTTTAAAATATTGTATAATATAGTTTTATACATATTCCACAAGTATATTATATTTTAGCTATTAGTGTAATTATAAAATTAACTGTATAGATTAAGTTATATAATTTTGTACAGAATATGATATTGTAGAATATATATTCAGAATATCCTAAGTAACCTGTGTTTATATTACATGTAAAATATTAATATAAATTATTTAAGTATAATCTCAATATAATCATAAATTTGCTTTATGTTCTTGTATATCCCTCGAAATATTAAATTAAATTTATTAAATATTAAATAAAATAAAATATTAAATTTTGGGAAACGTGTGTATAAATTTAAAATAAAATTTGATTGGGAAAACTATTACTGTATATTATCATATGTAATGTACTGTACAGTATAATACAATTTTAATGTTGTGATCAAGTAAGATTACTGTTATATATATAATATAACTTATATTACTGTTATGATGACAATTAGAATAATTTTATATAATTTAAAAATACTCCTATGAGTTATCACTCCAAAATAAGCATGGTTATTCTTACTGGTTATTCGTTATAATAAGTTATTGAATAAATATATGAGAACCAGAATAATATTAGACAGAAAATAGTTGCTATGAATTGCATCAGTCATTGGATTCATAGACAACACGTTTGTTATGTCACGTGATGTGAGACATACAGCACTCATGAAATACAAACGTTTGTCAATTGATTGCAATAAGACATCGAAGACATCAAAGACATCAAAGACATCGAAGTTACCATAAAATATAAGACAGGAGACAATGGGCCGCACCTATGAGGAAGAGTTGCAGTATTTGGACAAACGGGACAACCATTGGATCATAAGGAAGGGATTTGTGCCTAATATGAGAGTATGTATGAAATGGTCACTCTTTGACACATCCATTGTTCATCACATCTGTGGTCACTCTTAGACTGAAGGCATCTTTTATGTGAACGAATTGCTCGAGAAGTTAATGTTGGATGAGTTGAGGGCGAGTACGAAGACAGGAGGGGTGGGAGGCTTCCTGCCGGGGGTGAAGCAGATCGCGAATGTGGCGGCACTTCCAGGGATTGTCGGCCGCTCTATAGGTCTGCCGGACATCCACTCGGGGTATGGCTTCGCGATCGGCAATATGGCCGCCTTCGACATGTCTGATCCCGAAGCCATTGTGTCTCCGGGAGGCGTCGGCTTTGACATCAATTGTGGCGTTCGTTTGCTTCGAACCAATCTCTTCGAGAAAGACGTGAATCCAGTGAAGGAAGAGTTGACTCAATCCCTCTTCGATCACATCCCAGTGGGCGTCGGCTCTAAAGGTATTATTCCTATGAATGCCAAAGACTTGGAGGAAGCGCTCGAAATGGGAATCGACTGGTCTTTAAGAGAGGGCTACGCGTGGGCTGAAGACAAGGAGCACTGCGAAGAGTACGGAAGAATGCTGTCCGCAGACCCCTCGCGAGTGTCCACCAAAGCCAAGAAGAGAGGTTTGCCTCAATTGGGAACTCTGGGGGCCGGCAATCATTACGCGGAAATACAGGTCGTCGACGAGATTTTCGACAAACAAAACGCCGCGAAAATGGGAATCGAGTCCTTAGGACAGGTATGCGTTATGATTCACAGCGGGAGCCGAGGGTTTGGCCACCAGGTGGCCACCGATGCCCTCCTTCTCATGGAGAAGGCTATGAGTCGCGACAAAATTGAAGTCAATGACAGACAACTGGCCTGCGCTCGCATCACATCAGATGAGGGACAGGATTATCTCAAAACTATGGCCTCTGCGGCCAACTTTGCGTGGGTTAACAGGAGTTCCATGACTTTCCTCACGAGACAAGCCTTTGCCAAGACATTCAACACAACTCCCGATGACTTGGATCTACACGTCATATACGATGTCTCGCATAATATTGCGAAAGTGGAACAGCATTTGGTCGATGGAAAGCCTAAGACTCTGTTAGTCCATCGCAAAGGTTCCACGCGAGCCTTCCCTCCACACCACCCCCTCATTCCCGTTGATTATCAGGTATGGCGTGACATATACTCTCCAATGAACCCTTGCAAAGCAATGTTGTTTTGAACCCATAGCTAACCGGCCAACCCGTCCTAATCGGTGGAACAATGGGAACGTGTAGTTATGTATTAACGGGAACTGAGACCGGAATGAGGGAGACATTTGGCACGACATGTCACGGCGCCGGTAGAGCTCTGTCCCGATCGAAAGCGCGACGAAATCTCGATTATCAGGACGTGTTGGACGACTTGGCAAAGAAAGGCATATCTATAAGAGTGGCCTCACCTAAGCTGGTCATGGAGGAGGCGCCCGAGTCTTACAAAAATGTCACGGATGTGGTCAACACATGCCATGCCGTCGACATCAGCAGGAAATGTGTCAAATTGAGACCAATTGCTGTCATTAAAGGATAACGCCTTTCCATTCGTTTATTTTATATCTAATATAAAAAGCATTAAATTCTGTGATTTTCTAAATATTATTTACTGAAAACAAAATTCAAATGAGTTATGAATTGGCAATGAAGTGATAATCAAGTTTTGTATTGACATTACCGTGAAATAAATTGAATTTGTCTGTCACTCAACAAATGGCCTCAGATTTGCTATAACTCTTAAAAGGTAATAGGCCACTTTAATTTTCCCAAATAGTTTGTCACTACGGTAAATATATTATAAAACAAATCTATACCATATTACTAATAATTTTGGTAAATTTAGAAAGCGCCGTGCCAATAGGACCCGGCTTATTTTATATAAATTATTCTTATTTCATATACGGCAATGTTTTAACGACAATATTCTTATATTTTTACTAATACTGAATGAATGTAGCTATAATACATTATATCAATAATTGATCATTCAGTATCAATATTATCATATCATATATTAATTATAGAATATTCTGCACAATATTCTCTTCAATATTGATAACTCACACGTCAACCAAATAAAGGTTTTGAACATTTTGTATTCACTATTGAGTATTATTATATAATTTTATTACCATCAAATAAAATGAATAAATTATTTAATATGTCATTATTTGTAGTATGTATGGACTTATCAATTAAATAACCTGGATAGCTTGTTGAAAAGCATCCGTACGTACGGACACGTAGAATACGGATTCCGTACGTACAGTACAGTACACTATGTGCTACAGTAACTAAATAAATATAATAATTAAGTTGAATAGAAATAGAGTTAGATTCATACAAAGTTACAAGTTAGTAATTATACCATACTGTACATAATATGTACACATACTAGATTTAACCACTATTCGTATCAATTATATGAGTTGTTTGTTAAATTAATAAAAGTCCGTAAATCTATCATCAATTTGATCTACAATTTTGTATAATATCGTACTTTGATTGGAAATCTTACAGTGAAATTGAATGCATAATTGGGAGGGAATACATGGGAATATAGTGTTGGTGTATGTATTTACCAAACGCTATACAGTGTACATGTAGTGCTGTTATGGCACTGATTGTTGACAATAATACATGCATTAATAATGCATTACTGTATTGTAGTGTTCAATACTGCAGAGTGATGAGTGCTTTAAAAAAGGTAAATTAGCAATCTAATTTCAATCTATTTGATCACTATTTAATACTTCATTATTACTTGCCATGTCTTGCAATCAGACAACAGGTCTCACAGGACTTCTTGTGTCCCGGACTCCACATTACGTGAGTTAAAGGCATTCATAGATCTAATGAGCGATTCACTGATGTATTCATTGATTGACTGATTGTTTCAGTCTTTGACTAAAATATATAACAAAATACTGAAGAATTTGCGGAAAATGCCCGAAGAATGCGCTTACAAGAGGTACACCTCTCACACTATCAACGAGAGACTGGCTATTGTCCAAAAGGTGACCATCGCTTGCCATCATTACAGTCTATACACTATAAGACTTATGTGACTGTCGTTTGTTTGTCTTCAGGAGAAAGAGGCGGAAGTGATTGAGCAGAAGATTGGCTGCGGAGTGATCGAAGAGCTCATAGTTCAGGCCGAGAGTGAGCTGTTGCTGTCCCACAGGATACTGGACACCAAGGCTTGGCAGCCCTTACAGACCAACCCACCGCCAAACCAGTGGAAGTGGCCTATTGTCTAACCATTACTTATTTGCAATAGTCTCAAGAAGTGTTTGTTTATAGCAATTACACAAACATTAGAATCAATGAGAGATATTTGAGTCGAGAATGATATGTAATTTTAGTGGAATTCAAATTAAATAAAATATTCATTAATTGGTTGAGCATTGAGTCTATGACTGATCTGTGATTGACTTCTTTGTCGTTAAACTCCTCATATACCGTAAGAAGTGGTTTTCGTAATCATCACAAAGATCTGCATATTTGTAGTGTTATATCAAAGCATATCTCTGTCTTACAATACAATATACAGTATGATGTATGGGTCACCTCGTCGTCTGCTTATTCCTTAATTGTATAATACATTTGTTAGACAATTAGAGTTTAGACTTCAAAATGATAGTATTGTTCATAAATGAATAGCTCATTCATTGAATAAAATTAAAATTAATTCGTAAAAATAATTTCGAAAATATAAAGATTGCATTCTTTCCAAAATTGTTTGTACCGTATCAGTACAGTATGGTTTGTCCAAACTTTCACTTAAATTACATAATTATTAACTGTATAAACTATATTATTCCACTGTTGAGTCTCGACATACAGTATAATTTATAGTTATAGAATTTCAGAAAAGTATCTAGTACAGTACCGTAGTTTCTGTGATCAAGTCATTTGGACAGACTAATCATTTAGATATAGACATCATAGAGTGTTTTTTAGCAATGTATTTTTAAATATAAGTTCAATTAGATATGATATACTGTATTGCAAAATTAAACTCATTATTAGATTTATTTAATACAAATAGTTTATTTATTTATTGTGTGGGAATGGGATGAGAATTGCATTTTTGCAAAATGCTCCCAAATTAATCACCAACTTACTGGTTAGGAATTGTCATACTATTTGAATATTAAATTCAATAATGACATAATGACATAAACATTGATGAGTTATTGTACCGTACTTACGATTAGATACTGTACTGTATTACTATAATTACCGGTATGTTATTAAAATCCTGAATGCGATTTGATTTGACAAGTACAATGTAAATGTGAATATTGTGATGATTGATGTGAACTTGGACAACTATGTAAACCAACTTGGTAAATTGGTTAATATGAGCATGGTATTAATACAGTAACAGTAACTGTGAAATAAGAATGACATACAGTATATAAAATAAAACAATTTTATTCGAGTAAATCATTATTTGTTGAAAATATGGTTGTATTCCTAATAAATATATATCCACTTAAT